TTACAAACTAAGGACTACACATTCATTTCAATATTTGGTGAGACTACTGGGTAATAAGAATGGTTATGACTATGGGAGACTTAATAGTAATTTCCTCTTTTATTTACAACATTTTTTATCAATTTGTGAATAATTTATTTCTATTCCGTCATTCTGATAACCTTGTAGCCCCAGCCCCACAATTACTCTTTTAAATATGGTTAGTCATTCAGGCTATTTCAATGTTCAAATAATTTCCTAAATACATGATGCACATAGGATTTGATTTGGAAATCTTTTTAAATTCATACATATAATTGAATTTTATAGTCTAATACAATGATCCTTCTTTTATAAATTTTATGCACTAAAATTTATTTTAGTGTAAGCTTGACTTACAATCAAGAGAAAGAAAAGCCGAAACGCATGTCCATCTTTCTTCAGGAATCACACAGTATTAAAATCAGTTCAATATGAGATATTCTTTTTCCCAAAGTTAAGATCCCACAACAATAGCAATATAAGTTAAACGGCCTATCTAAATATTGTTCCAAAAATTATTATCTCACAAAAATTATAATCTAAATAAAAATTTATTCTATTTAATAATTTGTTATACCATGCATATTAAAAATATAAATAATTATTTGTTTTATACCCCATATATAGCAGAAATACGATTAACCTTTTTTTCCCACAATTTCTTACCCATATGATTTCAAGTTGGTGGATGATGAAAAGAATAAGTTTCTAGTTGTAATATGATTTCTTTGTATCCTTTGTTGGACCTTTATAACTGTTATTCCAAAAAAAATCTAAAATTGTTGAATTTTATATTTTTTTAGCAATAAAAACAACTAAGTATTTTATATTACAATTCGACATCTTAGGTCTAAAACACAAAAATAATACTTCATGTTGATTTGAATTCAAAAATAAAAAAAATATAATTTAAAAATTAAAATAATGAAAACTGTTGATTTGGTAACATGAAATTTCAATATAACCAAAAAATAAATTAAAAACCATTTACATTTAAAGAATAATATTTTGAAAAAATACATTTTAAAAACTAAATAATTTATTTTATTCCATAACTTCAAACCCCGTGCAGATTAAAATTTAAAAAACTTCGTTTAGCTTTACAATTTGTAATATGTGATAATAAGAGTTTTATATTTTTTATTGAGAAAAAAACAGTAATGCACAAGAAGGAACCCTTCAAAAGCTATCGTGAGTAATACGGGATGAATATGGAAGTAGGCCAAGGGTTTTATAAAATACACTTGATTTCAACTAAGCAAGGCAGCAGAAATTTTAAGTGTCTGGGAAGGCTTGACTTTGTCGAAGCGAGAATCATCCCAAGATTAAATGTGTTTACTTATTCAATAGAGACCATAACACTCATTCACAATGAATTCTCCCCAAGTCACCCCTTTTACGGCCCCATTAAAAAGATCAGAGATTTATTAAAGCAAAACTGAATCATCACTTTTGATCACATGTTCAAAGAAACATACAGTTATACTGATTGGTTTGTTTGTCATGCCAATCATGAAATGTTCAACACAACACAGCAATGATCCACCTCTGAGATGAAGGACCTCTTTGTGCTCTAATCTGACTTAGTTTTTGGTCTTTTGCATAACTAAAGCCGCGGCCTTATATTAAAAAAGAATAAAAGCTATCATGAATAGGGGTGAGCAAAACCGAACCGAAATCAAAATCGAATCGAATTTTGTCTATTTGATTCGGTCTATTTGATTTTTCGGTTTGATTCGGTTAGTAAAATTTAAAATCGAATAGACCGAACCGACTGAATTACATATAATTTATTAATTTATAAATTATATTTAATTTGTAAATTATTTTATTTTATTTTTATTTTTTATGTTAATAAAGAATAAAAAATAATAACATCACTTGAAACCCTATTTCGGTCAGTCACTCTCATCAGTAGGTGTTCTGACTGGATTATGTGGCCATTATTTAATCATCGGTGTTTATTTGTGTTGTTTATTTGATTATCCATACCTTTATAATATTTGGGCTTTATGTCATATGGTGTAATTAGAATGGGCTCATATTGAAAAAAACAAATAGAAAAAAAAAGTCCAATTTTATAGTGTTGTTTGTTTTAATATTTAAAAAATGGGCCCAATTTCAATAGCCTAATATGAAACCAAAAAACCGAATTAACTGACCAAACTAATTATCAAATTTTGATTCGGTTCTTTTTCGGTTCGATTGGTTTGTTCAATTCGATTCGATTTTTATTTTCAGTGTTATTCGATCGATCAGTTTTGCATATTTTGGGACCGAACCGAACCGACCGATGCCACCCTAATCATGAATGAGGGGTTTGTCCTTTTAAATTATACTCTAAAAAAGATTTGTCTCTATTGCTGGTGGAAGATACTTCTGCCAAAAATAAAACAAAAGCATCTATGAAATTTACAACACAGCTCTTGGATTTCTAATGAAGTCTGCAACGTAAACTAATCCTTTCTTTGTCTCTTCCTATTTGTCTCAAAGCCCAATGCACTTTTCCAGTATCATTTACATTTCCTTCGTTCTTTATGCCATATCCGTCAAAATTTTTGACATCTTGGCCGCTGCTGCTACCATTTCTGCTAACCAGTTTGCTATACCATTTTTCATACTCCTAAGAATTGATCTTCTCTTATACCAAATGATAGAGCTGTAAACTCGAATAAGCAAATAATAGATGCAAAAAAAAAAAAAGAAAGCAAGATTATAAAAATAACTTGTGCTGGATATATATATATATATATATATTTTGGGTGAAGTGTGATGGATAAATTGAATAGCTGAATCCAATTACTAAGGAAAATAATGATTGAAGCCAGTCTGATATCCCTCATGCACCCTGGTAAAGAGATTACAAACACATAACAGATGATTGAAATACAACATACCAAATTAAAATACACACACAAGGCCAACACTATTGGCTTTCAAGAGGCCAGATGTCTCCCAATCTTTACCATACTTCTAAAAGACTGAACTTCCTACTCTTTGGTTGAACTGGAGAATTTAAAACCTAAACTAGGGTGTGGATTGAGGAAAAAATGAAAGAAAATACGGAGGAGAGAAAATTAAAGGAGAAATTTCAAAAGATAATAACTTTTTAACTATTTTTAAGAGTTTTCCCTCCTAATTTTCTTTCCTCCATACTTTTCTCCCCATCCAAACGAAAGGTAAAAGTTACAAAATAATTGGGGTACCTAATCCATACTCCTATATCACTTCTTTTCCCTTATGCCCATAATTCCTACACCATTTCCTTTATAAATCAGCTCTGAATCTTCAGCTCTATCAACTATCAATGTCGTTTAGCCCACAGCCTCCATTCACATATACCCCAGCCACTCATTAATAAATAATCTACTATGTCAAATTTTCTAGAAAATATCGAAGAGAGAGCGGCTTGATACATAGCATAGGTGATAAATTTACGGCAAAAAATATGAGTGAAGATTGCACTGAATCCTCCAAGCGTCCAACAGAACAATCTTGCAAATAGGAAGAAAATTACTTCACAGTTCATACAACAAACAAGAAAAACAAACATAGAGCTTGGAAAGCACAAGTTCATAAAACAGAAGGTTTCAAGCTGACTTCTAGATGCCTTATAGACTATCAACATGGTAGCATGTAAAAATCATTAGTAAGTGGGTGGGAAATGGAACTTATTCACATGATAATATTCCTTAAACAAGAAAATTAATAAAAATATCTTTCATAGTCCTCTTGGCCACCTATTATCTGGCTGCATACCAAAAGAGGAAAAAGAAAATATTACTATGGAACAAGTGAGCAGCCCCTGCAGGAGCAGCAAACAATTAATTCAATATCAGATATCCACACTTTATGGTCAATTGTCATGTATGACTCAAGTATTCGTAAAGCCAAAACACGCCTGACATAATAGCACCTTTCATCTTGGATCATATAGTATTGATGGCCCCACGAAAATAAGGGAAATTAATTCGATATCAGATATTCATTTTGCCAAAGTTAGTATCCCACAATAATAACAATAAGTCGAACCCATCTCAATATTATTCTATATGCTTGAGGTTTTTAAAAAGTTACGTACGCATCAGAAAGAGACAAAACATCAGCTCGCAAGAGTACAAACTTTCATAACATGGTCTGGAATTATGATTCATAGGAGTTTATACAATATACGTAAAGTTTGTAAAGCACAAATAACTCTTGTAGCCGGAGACCGTGCTTCTAAAAGAACCACACAACAGATTTCGTTTAATATGATATGCCTAATAGTTAATAAATTAAATGTGAACCATAAAGAAAGAAGGAACAAAGTCATGTTAAGCCGAAAAAGAAAAATAACTTGACAACTAGTAACAATGAAAAGTAAAACAAATGCAACAAACATCTTATTTAAACAGAGCATAGGCAATTGAATCCAGCCAATATATATTCCACAAAGTTTACTTAGAAGAAGCAAATTTGATAACTATTGATAACTATTACAATAAATTTCATCATGAATATGAGAATCAACTATCAACAATCAAATAGATGTCAAACAATGTATCTAACCTTTTATTTCTTAGGAGACCTCTAGTGAACATTTCATTCAGAAGATCCTCTGCCTTAACATTCTCACCATTTTCTAAAAGAGGTCTAAAAATTGCATCCAAAGTCACAAAATTATGTGAGCATCCCTCCTCTTTCATTTTATAAAACAAGGGCTTTTGCTTCATCAAGCAAACCCTCTTTACAGAGTCCATTGATCATTGCATTATATGCCTAGACATTCAAAAGATGGCCACAACCCAAAAGGTACTGAAAAATCTACCACGTGTCATTTAATCTATCACCTTTGCACAATTCATCAATAAATATGGTATATGTGTGTGCATTATGCTGAAATCTTTGTTCAACAATTCATTGAAATAAGGCAACTGCCTAATCAAGATGATCAATTTTGCACAATCCATCTAATAGGATATTATAAAATATTATATTCAGGGCATGACCTCTAGCGTGCATCTCATAAATAATATCCTGCACATGTGACATTTTCCTGATTTGCACAAACCATCAACAAGAGAAACATAGGTGACAATATTGGGAAACAAATTTTTGCACTTCATTTCTTTAAAGAGACCCAAGGCATCATCCACCATCTTGATTTTACAAAGTCCGTTAGTTAAAATACTGTAACTAATGACATCAAAAGCCAAACTACTATTGGCCATCTTATTGAACAACTTCCTTGACTCGTCGACATTATTGATCAAACAGTGTCCACCCATTAAAGTGCTGCAAGTAACTAAATCGGGTTTTATACTGTGCTTCATCATCATGCCAACAACAGCTTCAGCATTGGTGATACTTCCTTCCTTACAAAATGCATCGACTAATATATTAAAAGTACAAGTATTAGGGTTGATGCCTTCAAATCTCATTTGATTAAAAAAATTTGTCACTTCTGGCCATTTACCTGTGAAACACAAAACATGTATCAAATAGTTGTATGTCACAACATCAGGAGATATTCTATGACCAATCATTTCATGAAATAAATGAGTATCTTCAATTATGAGTCCTTCCTTACAAAAACCATCAATAATTGTACTATGCATGATTAAATTAGGCTTAACCCACCCTCTAACTATCTTTTGGAGCAATTTAATAGCAGCTCTTGTTTTCCTCATTTGCATAGCCCGTTGATAAGGGTGCCATAACTAACTTTAGTTAAGTGAAACCCTTTCGCTATTACATCATCATAGAAATCTAAGGCCCTCCCAATGTCATTATTGATGCAAAGGCCCTTCATCAATATAGTCAAAGTAATTGTATTAGGTCGACGGCCCATCTTAAGAATCCTTCCTAAGGCAGAGAACACCAAAGTCATTTGACCCACATGGCAGTAACAATTAATCAAGACAACAAGAGTAAACAGATTTGGTGCCAATCCTTCAGATTCCACTTGTGCGAAAAGTGAGATAACGGTATGATGTTTCAACTTTGCAAGAGATCTAAAATCCTTCTGATTTGGAATGTAGAGGGTGGGGGACGCCTATGAAGCAAGCAATGGAAAGAAGAGACAGCCTCTTCAACATCATCAACATTTGACGAATGGGAACAAAAACTGAAGTTGGGGGAAAGGGTAGAACGGAGGGAAACAAACAAAGGAAATTTAGAGGAGGCGTACCGTGAAGCAGCTCTGCAAAACGACATCTTTCGTTGTATCCAGAAATTCATCAACTAGAAGCCAAAAATGAAGAGTGACAAAATGAATTGTTATAATAAAAAACCAACTAAAACTGACATAGATATTATTATCATTTAAACTAGTTGAATGTTTGAATTATAATCCTTGCGTATATGCTACTTTAATTAAAAGGAGTTTATTCTTTGCTCTTAGTACATTAGGGGAGATAAATTAATCTTTACCATTGGTGAAACCTACATTGCAATTTGCAACAAGGGGAGGAATATATTCATGCTCAACAACAATTAAATAAGCGTCATCTTGCTGACAATTGTTGTAAGAGCCCTAATTTACCCATCCAATAAATTGAAATTTGAAGGCTCGATTTGAGTGAAGGAAAAAGTGAAAAGAAAGTAAAAAAGAATACTATAAAAGAAAACTCTCAAGAATAATAAATCAATTTTTTCACATTATTTTTTGGAGTTCTTCCTCTCTTCCCCTCAGTTTAATGAGAGCTTTTCCTTTTAATGTTTCCTCTTCCCTATTTTTCTCTCCCTCTGGGAAGGGTTTACTCTCCAACATTTCCATTCCCAATCTCTTCTTCACCATAACAAGCACAGCACAGCCCACCAAAAGCAAGCCTAGAAGGAAAGCATCTGGAGCAACAATTGTTCTCCCAACTGCTACTTTTCTTTCCGCTGACTTGTCTTCTTTTCAAACTGTCGAGGCAATAAATGCTATGCAAGAGTCATTCTGCCATGCCATCACCTTCAACTCTAGCACACAATCCTATAATTCCTCCTTCTGCTTTTGTAAACCCAGTAAGTAATGTTGGCAACAATCATGGTTGATGCTGATATAAAAGGAAAATAATGTGAAAACGATGTTAGCAGTCAAGAACACTAGGATATAGTATGGTGGGTGAAAAAAGGGGAGGAGGGGGAAATCAGTGCAATTGCTTTTAAATCCTAATTTTGATTTACTTAGCACAGATTCCAAAATGTTGGCTGGAAATATTCAGCTAAAATTGAACAAAATATTAATATCACACTGATGGGCTATATAACCCCTTTCTTATAAGGAGCTCTTCCATGCATGGTTTTCCTCAAGGGAAAAGTATAAATATGGCAAGAAAAATTGCAGAAGCATGTACAACAAAGCATATGCAGAAATGAAAATTACAGCAAAGGCATGGCAGTATTGCAGGAAGGAAAGCAAAGGCATGCATGAAAGGTTGGCTGTTTAGTTCTTTGAATGTTTCAATAATACTCATAAACCCCATGCCTCGAAAAATTCAAGCATTCTTTTTCACTGAAGAAGTCCAGCCTAGCAAAATATCATCATGATATTTTTTAAGCAATCGTTATTTAAGAAGACAGAATCCAAGCAAACTCCACTATAGCTTTTTTTTTTTTTTTTTAGCCCATTAGCATCAACTGAGATATGCCTGAGTAAAAAAATCAAATACATGGTCAGCCATAAAAAAAAAAAAAAGGAACAAACTCATTTCAAGAAAAAAAAGAGACCACCAGTAACAACAAAAGTCAAAAAATAAATATATGAATCATATGACTCAAACAATTTTTACTTAAAAGAAACAAGCATTTCTCACCCTTTTTCCAAAGGGAACATAAGTATAATATAAAATAATATATTGATATGCCTGAGTAAAAAAATCAAATACATGGTCAGCCATAAACAAAAAAAAAAAAAAGGAACAAACTCATTTCAAGACAAAAGAGAGACCACCAGTAACAACAAAAGTCAAAAAATAAATATATGAACCATATGACTCAAACAATTTTCACTTAAAAGAAACAAGCATTTCTCACCCTTTTTTCAAAGTGAACATAAGTATAATATAAAATAATATATTGACAATACGAAAATTCTATCACTTTTTTTATTACTTTTTATTTTATCATGAAACTATGGGAGGATGACAGATAACTCCCAAGAGAGATAATTAACCACAGTTACGTTATCAATATAATTCTGTAACTATTAATTTAAGTATGGTAAATTCAAAAATTTTAATTATAAATAATATATTTAAATTCTAAAAATAACTTTTAATTTTTATTTTTTTTTTTATTTAAAACGATCTAATTGATATTTGCAATTTATTTTTAAAAATAACTATTAAAGATTTAACTATTATTAATTTCCTCTTTTGAAATTTTTTGACACTTTTCCAAAAACCATAAGATTATTGGGAAAAAATTAGGACATAGTTGCTAATTCCAAATCAAAAAATGTTCTAACAATTCTCTATATTATTATAATCATAGATATATCTTCTCTATTTTGAAAACAAAATACACACTTTCATGTCATCCCATTAGTTAACACAATTAATTACATTTTTGAAATACTCTAAAATAAAATTTTATTAATTAAAATTTATGTTAAAAATTTATTTTACTAATTACCCTCACAATAATAAATATTTACTATGGCAAAGTGTTTTTTTTTTTGGTTCCACATATTCATTAAGTGAAAGAGAAAGGGAATAAAAGACTTGCATCTATTTGATTACTTGTTTCCAAAACAGTTTTTGGTTTTGAAATTAAAAGAAATAACAAGATTGAAAATGTATGTTCTTTTATCAACTCTAAAAAATAAAAAAAGTTAAAAGCTGTTATGAAAAACTAAAAAACCATAATATCTTTTTTATGTTTTGTCACTTTTTTTGTTTGCAAAGGCATTCCTTACAGCCGACGGTTATGAGAATAATCTTTTGCAGAATTTGAACATTATTTAAAAGATTGTCCTATCTCAAGTGATGTTTTTCATACACATTTTTAAGAGTCAAACTCCAAAACTAAAATGATGTTTAGGAGGTCTGGACTACCATCATTCTTGACATGCCCACTTGGTTGATGTTTTGTCACTCTTTGTTTTGCAAAACTAGAGAAAAGAGCAGAAAATATCATCAATGATAATTATATTAATAAAATAAATAATTTTTAATCTTTTTTTGGGTGAAAATTGGGCAAACGCCCGTACAATTATGTTAATTTTTTTCATCTTTTATTTCACCACTTTAAATATATTTTTTAGAATAATGATTCAAACGATTTTTCTTATTTTTTTTCCACAATTTATTCTAAAATACTGCTCTACAAAATTATTTTAAGAATATAAAAACATAAAACAGAATCAAAGAAGCCCTTTATACGTGTATAGTTTTTCATGATAATGGTCTCCTACAAAAAGGAAACCAAACATACTCTTTGGACTAGAGGGGGAAATGAATTGCCCTTACCACTTCATTGGGACACAATAAACTTTAATCCAGTAAGTTTTATATGAAAATTGTACCGCTTCTTATTTTGATTTTTTTAAAAAAAAAAAGTGCTTACTATATCAATATTATTTACCAAAAGTTCAATATTATTTATTTGGAATTTGAATTTGTCCTTTTGTAAATTTATTCAACCAAAGATACTATTAAAAGAACTTTGAAAATTTATATGTTAAATGATAATGAATTTGTGGGCCAAGATATAAACGAATTACTTACTTAAATTGAAGTTGCAAAGTTAACAGGAAACAAGGTGAAGTAATGTATAATCTAACAACTTGAAAACAATGAAATTTACGCATTAATATGATAGAAATAGTTTAGAGTTGATATCTGGAATTAACAACATTAATTACATTAAGAATAGATTTGTTTAGAAATGGTTTAAGAAGGTTATATACTCAATTGTTCAATTTGTGAACCTTCAAAGTTCAATCAACAACTCTTTATCTTGGGCCTAGAAATCATGTATGAAAATGAACAGCTTATGGTGTTCCAAGCAGACCACGCAACAAACGCATGCGCGCGCGCGCATCCATATATTATTAGCCTATTTCTTTCGTTACAAGCTACAAGGATTGCGATGATTGCTTGTGTTTTGGTGATACTTCTATCTTAACAAAAATGCCTCAATCAATATATTAAAAGTATAAATGTTAGGGTTGATGCCTTCCTGTGTCATTTCAGTAAGTTTGCTCTAAGCTACAGAAACCAAATATTAGATGTAAGGCAAAAAAATATCAAGAGATAATTTCTCTTTTTTTTTCTTGTTTATAAATGAGTAATTTTATTTTAAATTGTAAGATCGTGAATATTTAAGACACTAAACTTTTTTTGTGCAATTTTGTTCTACAATATTTAAAAAATTCATAATGTATCTTCTTGTTAATTACAAGAATGTTGACCATGAAGTCACACGAGAGAAAATATAAGCTCATCATGACATGAAAATGTTATAGGGCAAAATTACATCCAAAAAAAAAAAAGTTTAGAGTTCTAAATACTTCAAGACTTATATTTTAAGGACAAAATTGCCTTTTTACCTTCTTTTTTCTCACTAGATATGAAGTTGCAAGCAGGATAGAACCAACCACTTATCACTAGCAAGGAATAACAAAGAAAGGAAGCTATTTTCCGACTGTCAATTTGGGCATTGAAAGAAAGGAAAAGTGATGATTGACATGTCAAAACTAAAAGAAAGGGGGAACACAATTAACTGTGAGCTGTTCATATTTGATCTGAATGGCATAAAAGTAGAGGTGCCAGAGAAGAATAGTAGAGAAATCAGTTTCCAACACATTCTGCATAGAGTATCAGACTGCTACTTTACAAGATTCAGATAAAAATCACATAGCAGCACACAGATACATCCAAAAGCCAAGCCAAGCATCACAATCTCAACCAAGAAAAAGAACTGAATTTTGCAGAGACAGATTCAATTTAGATTCCTTTTTTGGCCAGAAGTTCAATTCAGATTGAAATCACATAGCATCAAGTATCCAAAAAGCCTAGTAACATCATAATCTCAGCCAAAATCCAGAATTAAAAGATTTCATAAGAAAATACACCGAATATAACAAATTACCTTTGATTGTGGAACCTGCGGAAGATGCTATGCTTGGTCCCTGCACAACATCATTGAGTAGAAACAAGAAATAAAAACATGCATGGCATAGTCTAGCTCAGTTACATTCGCGTTCACTATTTTCTTTTCAGTCCAATGTATCGGTGGTTGTTTGCTCAAGAGGGAAAAGCAGTAACTTGAAACTGTACATTATTTGTAACTTTTCTCGTAACACAAACGTAAAAACTATCCCTAATGGCTCTGTTAACCATGATCTCAAAAGCTAGCATTCTATGCAACGCATGGAGACCATAATCCTAACTTCAACTGTCTGCTTCCTACAAAGAGACAGCCAACATCATGGAAAATTATATATTTTGATCACTAACAATAACTCATACCTCAATCCACTTTTTATTCAATGGTGAAACTGCAAATGAAAATGTTGTATTAGAACTCATCATGAAGTCCAGATATAGGAAGCTTTACATGACAGCTTCCTCTGATTTTTCAATAAGCATCATCACAGAGCATGTCAGTGGCTTCAAGAGCCTTGATTTATATTTCATAATTGCATCGAAAACACAAAGAAGGAGAAAATTGCAGCCTACATGTTTGAGAAACACGACTTATTTATATCAATCTAATACATCTCAAATTATCAATTCATGTCTTCTCCAACAATGTCAAATTTTTAATAGGCGGCAACCTGTATGTCTCGTGTCCTTGTAATGCTATTTGCCAAAACAAACAAACAAAAGAACGTCGAGGAATGTTGGAAATTTACAAACTTTATGCTTAAAAAAAAAAAGTTTTTGCATTTAATTCAAGAGAAGAGAAAGAATAATGTATTAATAGAGTTTAGGATTGAAGCCCTCTGCTTAGAAGAACAAGATCTATGCAAGCTTTTGGAGAAACTAATACAAATTTAGTCTTGGCCTGTTAACAATTTCATTGAATGTCATCTTAATGTTACAAAATTGATTGATCCCCAATAAAATGAAACGTTTCAACGAGGAGGAGGAATATACTCATGCTCAATTATAGGCGTAGTTCGAGTGCCAGATGCTGTAGGAGCTCTGACATGCCCAACCATTGAAACCTGAAGGGCTTCCTCTTCATATGCTCTCCTCTCCAAAGCTTCCATTCTTGATCTCTTCTTCACTCTAACAAGCATGGCCACCAGAAGCAAACCGAGGAGAAAAGCACCGAGTGCAGCGCCAATGGTACTCCCAACTGCCACTTTCCACTGACTAATCGGCTTCTTGAACTGCTCTGGAGGGGATGCAATAACCAGACCAAAATGGCCATGCCTCTTTGCAATACAAACATGTGGTGATGATGGCTTAGCCAATGTCATCCTCCCATCCCCTTCAAAACTGGCGCACAATGGTATGATTCCTTCTGATTTTGTAGACCTAGTAATATTGGTAAAATCAATTGTCAGGGGCTTTTCTCCAGCAACAATTCCGAGTTGAAAAGGGTTGATGGCATTTACATCTTCATCAGCATTGTAAGCTAGGAGGCCCACAACTGGTGAAATAAGCTGATATCCAGAGAGATCATAGTTAGCATAATAAATAGCAGACCAGTTATACCCCAAGTTCTGTCTAATCAGCAAGACCCTCTCAATACATGGATGCACAACCACACCTGAACCCAGATGGAATTCCTTTAAGTGGGAACCATATCTTCGCAGACTGCCACACCGCAACCTTACTGTATCGACTCTGATGCCAGAGAGGTTTGCAGGTAAACTCACTGACTGTACTATGCCTGTTCTGAAGTGTTTGTCCAATGATTTGAACGTGTAATCTCTAATGTAGAGGTCAAGAAGATGAGCTGATTTGATGCTCTGAGCTTTAGATCCCAGCAATTTTGACGACCCCAAGGTAACTACTATCAAAATCAGAGAAAAGATGGAGTCCATGAGATAAAGAAATAAGCCTAGCCCACAACAAATTATCAAACAATGTGTCAAATTAAAAGGCCTTTTTGGGTATTCCAAGGCTGCAACATCAAAAGAAGAACCTTGGTTTCTACATATTCAAGGAAAGAGAGCAAATCATAAATCACAAACTCTATTCCTCGATGGAAATGTGGTATCAAAGAAGAAATTTTGAGACTATAAGACAGTCAACAGATAAGAAAAGTCTGGGTGCGCACAAGATCCAGGAATTAGTTAAAAGGGGCAAAGAGGGTTCTTGTTGTGCCTTTGTTAACTAGCTGTTCCTTTCAAAAGGAATAGTTTATGGTTGTAGAGGAGGCATCAAACATCAAGCGGACAACGAAAAGAAGAAGAAGAAGAAGAAGAAGAAAAACTGAAGCTTAAAGAGAAGGGCAAGAACCTTTTCCTTTGCCTCCCACCGAAGGGAAAAAATTGAGATGGTAAAAGGTCTCGTTACTCCATAAAGAACAACAATGAGGTGGAAGAAATGATTTTGGAGCGTGGACTGATGATGACACTTCATGGTGAAAGCAGTGTGGAAAAAAGAAAAGGCAAAGAGCTTAAGCGTGCTGGGGAAAAAGACATGAAGGAAAGAAGCATTCTTTTCAATGGGGTCCAATATACTGATTGTGTTTGTCATGTTAGGTCAATTACAACATATCCCCCACTAGAACAACTCATAAGAGGGTCATGTTTGACTACCAGCATGCATGGCTTTCCCTTTTGTTACACCAAAGGAAAAAAAAAAGATAATTGATTAAGAAATACATTAAAGACAAATAACTTTACCTTTAAAAGTGACACATTGAAATGGAACCTTCCGACATCACACCATCGATTATAAACGGCGAAAGAGAGCGCGTTGAACTGTCTTCTAGGTCAATGATAAGTTCTTCTTATTCGAATTAGCGAAATCATAAGAGGATCGAATAGTTCGTCCTCATCGGTGCATTTTCGGAAACTTCGGTGCATTGAACTGTCTTGAAATGCTTAAGGACTTACCTCAACAAGGGCTGCGAAATTTTCCCGGAAAATCGAGGGGGAAGCGTTATTGGAGTTTTGAAGTACTCTCCGGACCAGATCCTTTATTTATTGCATATAGCGGGGAAGGCAACCTCTATTTCTTTGCTATCTTTTTCTCTCACTTTTTTGAAGGATCTATGACTAAAACAAATTCACTTATGGATGTAGAATGTTTAGATTAACGAGTATTTAGATTTAAATTTAAACTAAATCTCTTGCTTAGACATAAAAATTTATAAAGTTAGATTTTATTTAAATGTAAATTCATTTTAAATTATAACTTTTTTAAAAATTTTAAATTCACTTCACATCGATCATTTAAAATTATAATCATTTTAAACATATCATTATCTTCATATTTTTACTATTAACCTCTTTACCACTCTCATATATTTTTCTATTTTTTATCAATTAAAAAATAAAAATAAACTTATTATTTTTAATTTTTATCTTCATTTTCAATCTCAATTCATATTTTTTTTTATTTAAAATTTTTAAATTGTCTAAATAAAATATATTAATACATGATCTTAAAACAAGTATAAAATTTAAATTTAAATCTATGAATTCAAACATTACTTTCATACAATATAAATAGTTAAAATTAAAAAGATGAAGAGAAAAGGATAATGAGAAAATGAAAAGGTTTCACTCCAATACAGTTTAAATGAGGATGGTTTTATATCACTTTCTCCATGTTAGCTGACTCCAGAGGTGAAAAGAATTGTGTGCTATGAAAAGTTACTAAGAAAACGCAGATGATATGATAGGCTTAGGTGGCCTTTCATTGCAAAGACAGAAAAGATGAGATAATTTTCTTAAAAATTTTAAGAGGGAAGTCAGTCATATAATGAATTTAATTCAATGATTATATTTAATATAAGTATTAAATATCTATATCATTTAAACCGTTAAGATTTATATAAATGATTATAAATTTATACTCCACTTAAAATTAATGAATAAGTAAATTTATTTAAACCGTTAATTTAGATTTTAATGGGCTCAGATGATATAGCATTTAATGCCTATACTAAATACAATCACTAAATTCAAATCCTCATAGAATACATTACTTGTGTTATTTATATATTACTCCTAATATTTTCAACAAAATAAAAAATCTTAAACCTCAGTAATTATATATATATAAAATTTGACAAGTTTTCCACTATATCTCTATTAAATATACATACTTTAAAATATTATACTCTATGGCTTAATAGTCTTCCCAATAATGAATAAGGGTAAAATAGTAAAGATAAATATCATAATCATTGAGATGCCTACAATACTTATATTATTTATAAATCACTTTCAACATTTTCAATAAAATAAAAAACCCTAAAATCTAATTAATTCTAAGTAAAAATTTAACAAGTTTCTAGTTTTATCTTTATTAAATATACATACTTTAAAAAAAATATACTCTACCATTTAATAATCTTGCCAATAATTAATAGAGTTAAAAGGTGAAGATAAATATTATAATTATTGAAATACCTTATAAATAGAACCAAAACAAATACACTTTCTGTTAGAATTTTGAATTTGCATAATTTCCACCCATGATGAGTCATCAATGGGATTTGCAATAATTTTGGTCATAATGAGTTGACTAGAATATGATGTTAATTTTTGATTACTAGCTTGAAAGGGAACAATCCTCCATCGTAATAAAAATTATTCCAATCAACATATTTCCTCTATAATGAGGCAAATTAATATCAATTGGATCTTCTTTTTATACAAAACCTCCTTCACTATAAATGGTGACCAAAGGCTGGAGGTAGAGGTATCCCAGAGTGAATAGTTCTTTAGTTCACTCTTCCTCTCCCTTCTTTCTCTTCAGTGCATCTACTATGCACTATAGTCTAAACTCTAGTAGTCTATATTGTCTGGGTAGTTGGGTAGATTTTGCTATGCTCGAATCTAATGAGACTTTAACTCAACTCCTTTTATTCAATTTATTATTTATTTCATATTCTTTTACTTTCTTTACCCTATAAATAGAATAAGGCCCCGTTTGGTAGTTTGGAATCATGGAGAAAAAATGAAATTGAAAATGAAATCTGTTAACATGTATGCTTAGTATGCAATACTTATGATTCTTTAGAATCTAAATTCAAGTAAATTTGGCAGAATTTAATTTCATAATATGCATCATGGAATCTAATTTCATGGTTCCCTTTCTCAAGTTTGCCCCTCCTCCCTCCTCCATGACTTCCTTCTTCCTCCTCCACGAACCATCTCCTTCTCAATGCAGAAGCATCGCTCTTCTTTCTTGCATTCATCTCCTTCCTTTAGTGACAGATGGTTTCTTCCTCTTCTAATATCACTAACAACTATGCATCCCCTTTCGTCTAGATATGTTGATGACCACCACTCGCTCAGGAGGACAACCGCAATCCACTATGAACCCCAAGAAAAAGGCCTAAAATCTTCATCGAGCTTCTTAGTTCACACCTTTGTCATTAGTTTAGCAAGTCAGTCATGATGCAAAGTTGGAACAAAGGATGGGGGCAACGGGTGTACTGTTAAATAGGAATGAGTAGAGAGAGAAAGTTGAGAAGAGGAGAAAAGGAAGGGGCTCACGATGTCATGGCATGAACACTCACCATGCATTCTTATCAATAATGAACGACCCATCATCGTTTGTACATTCTCGTTGTCGATAAAGTACCCATCACCTCTCTCTCTCTCTCTCTCTCTATGGGTGCTCTTGGTCTAAGCATGGATATTCAGAAATAGATGCTGTATGAGCGATGATGTCTAGCACTTGCTTCTTGCTCTGGGTGTGAATCTGGAAATGTATTAGGTGGATGAGGAAGATGAAGTAGGTGGGTCTTAGGTTGTGATGCGCAAACTTGGAGGATGACGATGAAGAATCGAGCAACAATGGACAGTGCAACAGTCGTCACTGTCACCCTACTCAAAAGACATCATCATTTGCATCAATCTCCTCCTCGGTCTTCAAGAAGAAGAAGAAGAAGAAGAAAGCAGTGACGGATGGCGGCGAGGATGCTCATCAGATGAGGAGGAAGGAGGAAGCAATGACGTCATGCTTTTAAGAAGGAGAGGAATGAGGGTTGTTGGGCTGATGGGGATAAGTTTTTTTTTTAATTTTAAAAGGGCACTTTAGTCTTTTGCTATTTTAATTACATATATTTTATTAAAATTATATCAGGATTTCATCGTCACACCAAACACACTTTCAAATCCAATTCTATTTTAATTCCAATTTTATTTTCGATTTCAACTTCTGATTTTGATTCTATCAAAAACTCTTCTATCGTATCAAACATGGCCTAAGAGAAATACATCGCCACCATGTTATAGAATGACTATTAAACACAATTTTCTCCATTTGCTGACTTGTCTCCCTTCCCCCTTCTCTTTATGCATATGTACACGTATACTTTTTTTGTTCTAATTATGAGGTAAAATTAACTAATTTTATAGTTTTTAAAGAACGATAACTAATACCCTAAACTTTATTAAAAAAATGCAAGAATTTTCAATTTTACCTTTTACTATAATTAATTACCATAATTAAATATTGCATAGAAATTAAAAGCATACCAACAACTTGTTACAATTAAATTAAGGAGGGGTAATGTTAAAAAAATATTTAACTATCATATATGGCTTTAAAGCTTTACTAGAAATTTTGACGGGACCACGTAAGCTCTATTGAGAGTAGACAAAAGAATTGGGGGTCAATCTGGTTTTCGACAGTGAAAATTTAAGGAATGTAGGGAGTTTGGACTCTAATTGAGGATATAGAGCAAATTTTGGGAGTATTAGGCTATGAGTTGGGCTCAAGTTGGATGGTTGTAGTTGGGCTTCGCCTAGTGTAAGGGTTGAGCAAAGTTCTTTTTTTTTTTTTTAAACTTACCTGATGAAACAACGTCTGTAAGGGTTGGAGGATGGGAGAGCTCAAAGATAGGAGCTTTTTTTTGCTAGGGCCTACAATTTTTCATCTCTTTAGATTCTTAAGAGCTAAACAACTCTTGAGTAATTCCTACACCCTCTTCTCTACCACTTCCGTACCTTCCTTCTTGCATTCTTGGGTTTTAGTAGTTAAGGTTCGAAAATGGTGAGAACCATTGCTTTGGCCTAGTCATTATAAGGGTTATGGGGAGCTTGGTAAAGGTTTTAAAGGATGTATGTTTAGCCGCAGCAAATGTGTCATTTTATAATAAGCTGCGGCAAACTTGGCCTATGACTGCAATGAGATGGTCTCTGTACACATGTGAGGGCAAATGAGTCAAGTATCGTTGGCAGTGATGAAGAGTTTCTTAGCCTTGGTAAATGCGTGTTGGCTTGTTGAATTTTTTGTTTTGCCTTTAGTTGAAACATTTTACTCCTAATAAGAATTAAAAAAATTATTTTTAATAATTTTTTCTAATATTTATATGGTTAGAAAGATAAATATAATCATAAAAAAAAAATGAGATGTCATACAAATAAGATGAAAATTATTTTTATCTCCCTATTTTATGAATAAAAATAAAGGAGTATTTAACGAATTGTATGATTTCTCACTATATAAAAGACCCTTGGATCTAGTGACAGCAAGCTGTTTTGTGACGTAAGTTTTGGGTTTGATCCCTGTGCCTCTAAAAATTAAAAAAAAATAGAAAAGAAAAATCAATTAAGAGAATGAAACCTATTACACGTGTCATCAAGAAAATTTCTGCACCAAAAGTACATATCAAAAGTTGAGAACTTCCCATCTGCAAAAGCGAGCGTGGTGAATCCAGTTAACAAAACATATAGTCAAAAGTGATTTCTCAATGTGCGTAATTAACTTATTTTAATGATCATATTTTCTACCGAGTGGGAAGGGGATAACAGAGGAAATAGGACGGGAATGGAAGCAGCTGTAACTGCTCAAAAAAAATGAAGAACCAAAATAAAGAAGAACTAAAATAAAGAGTAGAATAATAAATTTTAATAAAATAAGATAATTCAAAGCATTATGACATGAAAGGATCTAACACTTACACCCGAGTCATAATCCATGAAAGTTTACAATAAATAAACAATCTTATATTAATAAAACAATCGTCCATATAATAATAATAACAATAATAAGCTTTATTCTATTAAGTGGGTTAATTGCATAAATTATACGATATCATTGTATTCTAAAAGAACATGGTCCATATAAAAAAAAATAAAAAAGCTAATCAACTTAAACCTAATGTCCAAGCTATAACAGGAACCTATTGACATTTTTTCTATTATTCATAAACACAAAAACTAGTGGAAAAAAAATCCTTTTCATAATCAAAGATTATATAATGACAATATTGCATCATTTCAAAAATCATAGGGGAACATTACAACAAAAATAAATTTAAAATCCTAAACAATCTTGTATTTATAATTTAGGGATAAATTTACCATTTAAATCAAACAAAGTTGGGCAAGGTTAGAAGAGCTTTGGAAGGTTGAATGCAGAAGTTCTCAAGTAGAACATAGAAACACTACCTGTATGACAGAAGTAGATACAATTCCCTTCACATCATCATAGTCTTGAGCTGAAATGGAGAAATCACCGTCTTGGCTCAAAACAAACACATGCTCATCCAACCATCTTCACCATTCGACATGGTCAAACTCATATACTTTCAAGCCAAGTACATTATTGGGCATCACACTGAGGTTGTCAGGATCTCCTTCAAAAGACATATTAGCAACATAAAGATTGCCATAGGATTTTTTTTTTTTTCAATTAAAAGGACAGTCACAAATGACTTGAAATTATAAATGGGATCGAACCGGTGACCTATAACTTAGAGAAAGTTTCTATGTCACTAGATTATAAGGCCATTGGCCATGAAATTATTCTACCAAATGCATGTCCTTGTTATCAACAAAAGGACAAAATAGGGGAGAAGATTGTACCACTTCAATGACGAACAGTCATAGAGCTGATCTTATGGACAATTATGTCACAACTATCCACATGGGTCCATTCAACATAACCAATTTTTAAAAAACCGTACTTTCCCATCTCGATCACAGAAATAATATGCAATCCTCTCTCTTGTCCAAGCAAATTGGGGAAACGCTACTACTTTCTTGCAATTCTTTAACACTACAACTTCCCTCTAATGAGGATGACGAATGCTCTTACTAGAATCATTTCGCGTGATATAAATTTGTTTTGATTAGTTCAACAAACCGAAAGAGCAATCGATTCAACTCCTTAGGGAAAGAGTCAGAAGGGTACCTCACGCTGGAGCTTGAGAGTCCATTGTTTGTGAAGGGTCTAAGAGACGGACCGCTATGTTTGGATTCTTCAACCTTGATCAACCACACTTTGGAGGAAGAAGAACTTGGAATGGCCATAGCGTAATTTAAAAGTGTCAAGTCAGGATAGCCCCACAAGTTAAGTGAGGTTTATAAGTGTAAAAACTCCCGCCACCAAATAGGTTAATATTTTAGAATGGATTCTCCTACCTAATAAGTCCTACATAAGAAACTTTACAAGTTAAGTATAGTTATAAATTTAAAGGGTTCTCTCACTGAAGTAAATTATATTTTGAATTTGTGATCATCGCATTGATATTTTTATTAAGAGACAGTGTCATGAAAAAGGCTACTTATAAAGAGTTCTGATTGACAAGGGGTTGAGTAAAATGCACTCTCAAGTTAAATGAGATTTATAAGTTTAAAGGTACTCTCCCATTTAATAGATTAATTTTTTACAATGAACTCTGCTATTAAATTTGTACTCATGACAAAAATTTCAAGAAGTTGAATTTTGGTGCTTTTAAATACTTTCTCTATTTAAAAATATAAAGTATTTTTAATCAAATGTCACCTCTAATAATGTAGTTATTTATTTTTAACCTAACCTTATCTTTTTATATTTATTTTTATTAAATACACTATAATAAATATAAATTATTATCAACAGGAACACTTTTAAAAAAAATAATTATTATCTCTTAAAAGATTAAAAATATTTTATATTTTTTAACATTTAATTTTTTAAAAAATATTTTATATTTTTAAATAGAGGGAGCATGTATTTGTCAGAAGAGGTTGTGATTCTTTGAGGGATTTGCCTATCATCTGCCATAGTTCTGATGAAAGATCATACCAATCTACGCTCTTATCCATCGAAATGTCAGCAAGTGAATCAGATACTCACACTCTTTTTTACGCCAGTTTCCACGCACATGCGCACAAACATGAACCCTTTGTTAATGAATTGCTTGGTTCAACTTCCCAGGTTGGTTTTTGAGCATGAAAGATTCAAAAAAAAAAAAACTTGGTGAGAGGAAGCATTTGAATGAGAGACAATTCTATTACTCACTCAAACTATAATGCATACTCCAAAAAACTTGACTTTTTTGCACTCGGTGACTCACTCATTCAACTAGGATGGCTTCTCTCATCTTCACCTCTTTTTCACTCTCTACTTTTCACTCACCCCACCATGCACCAAATGATTAATAAATGCCCTATTTATCAACGTTGTGAAAAGAATTGAGATATTATGTCATGATTCAATGTTTGAATCATGATTTGATCTGTAATACAACTAATCATAAATAAATTAATATATTTAAAATATTATATATTTAATTTAAAAATAAATAATTATCTATAATAAAAAATAAATATTTAAATTTCAAACGTAATAATAAAGATAATATGCATCAATGCTACAATATTTTTATCCAAAATACATATACTTATTTCATGATTTATAATTTATAACTTTAAAATTTATACATAATTTATGCACATTTCTTATTTTTTTTATTTCCTAATGCTTATTAGGTATAATTATGTATAAATTATAGTTTAGAAATATGAATTAAAAAGTTTTAAAAAAATAAAAATGATATGTCCGATTCAACCAATTTTGTTGCTAGATTTTACCAATTTTGGTCAGCTTGATTGGTTCTCAAAATTACTAATTAATTTCCTACGATGATTAAACTAGACTTGAGATTGATTCTCGATTAAATTGACTAGTCCAATTCACTTTTCATAACACTGCTATTTATATTACAGAATTGTGTTGCCCAAAATGGCATTTCCAAGCTAGTTGTCATTTTATGGGAGAGAAGAAAACATTGTTTTACTAAAGTTACTAAAAATTAATCTTTGAAAAAACATAAACTGCAGCCCTACAATTTCATTAGATTTTACTTTTAGTCTATATAATTTTTTTTAATATTTTAATTTTTATAATTTCAACAAGATTAGGTAATGTTTATTACTCAAATTCCTATAATTTCAATGTTTTTATTATTTTCAATCCCTAAAGCCTACATGAAAAATATAGGAACCAATCAATATTTTTAAAATCAAATTGAATATTGAATCAGAAAAGTCAACGATTCATGATTTGTATGGTTCAATCATGTTGAACTAATGGTTAAACTGGTAACGTAATAATTAAATTAAAAAAGTTTATATGTATATAATAATATAAATATAAAATTACTACTTAACTTAAAAATAAAATTAAATATTTTAAGTTTATCATAACTTAACAAGCCACATAATACAACATAATATCAAATGATTAAAAAAATTGATCATTTTTTTAAAAAATTGATAAAAAATTTTGAACAGCCCAATTTTTGAAAATTGAGTCCGATTCCCAACTTAATCCTGATTCTCGTATGACCATTGGTCCAAAACAATCCAACCTGACTCGACCCCTAAAATTATTTTTTCATGCTAACCAAGCCAAAATTCAAACCAATCTAGTTTTTTAATCACCAAAACCAATGATTATATTTTTCCTTTATTTTTTTAGTAATTCTTTTTTTTTTTCACATTGATATGGGCTTTTTATGTTTGGACCATAACAAATTAGCGCTAATATTTTAGGCTTAATTTCTTGTTTCATTTTTATAATTTTTGGAAGTCTAGCTATTTTTCAAACAAATACATCTTCCATGAGATACATGGTATGTTAAGTACAAGGTTAATAACCTTACAGGCCAGAAATTGCTCATGCTTTGTTGAGTTAACTGTGTTTTTGATTTGTGTATGATATAATATTCATGCATTTATAAAAATAAAAATAAAAATAAACCTAGGATTCTGATCTACAACCATCATAACAAAATCTTCTCGCTCCAAGTATCTACTTAAATCATGTAAACTTTTATACATATTATTTTGAAGTGTGCACTCCCATTCTCCATTTCTCTCTGGAATCACCTGCAAAAGTTTGAAATTACACTGATCAACTAGGTGGTTACCGATTGTCCAGGCAATAAGTTTCCCCCTATGCATCCAAGATGCTTTTGGCAAAAAGCATAATATCACATTGAAGGAAAGAGATTGAATACATACACCTACCTACCAATATGTCAAGACTCAGATCAAAGCTATTTTCTTGCACTATGAATTTGCCTTTCAACTTCCGACTGTTACAACCTTGACATTTCAGGCTCAAATATCTTCTAAAAAATCTCCTCTAAAAGAAAAATAAAAGCGCAAGAGGGAAGAAGAAGAAGAATGAATATTGAAGCAGCACGGTGCATTGCTGAATCAGTTTCTCATTCAATCAAACTAATGATAACAGGAGAAAGAAAAAGATAACTATTTGCTCGTTCATTTGAGAGCATTATCAGTAGACTATATGAGGAATAGAAAGGAACTTAACTACAGAAAGTTATAAAAATAAAAAAAATAAAGCAGCAAAGATTTTGACATGTCAAAATCAAAAGCCAGGGGAAGGAGGATTCGGTCAAGAGAAGGAAGGAGGAAAAATTGTGTATGGACTAATAATAAATATATGAGCTTTCAACAGACATCGATCATGACAACCTTGTTCTGACAATGGGTAATGGATCTCATATCATGAAGAAAAAGTGAGCGAGGCTTATTCCCCTTCTTAAAATCCTTTACTCATCCCTATAATCTTACTTATCCATATTATCCTAAAACATATTTTGGAAAAATCATAATGATCAATTCATGTGCAGTCAAAGGCGAAATCATCAGAATGAATTTTATAATGTAAGAAAAGCATAGATCAGAGATATTTCAACAATTGAATTATGAATGAAAGGCTTCTGGAAGAATTTACTTTCTGATAAAGACCTAAACAGATCGATTACTTGTTAAAATAAAAACTTTATAATTTTAATGTTTATTTACCAGCATTCTTTTTATAAATTAAATTGCTTCCGGGATCTTTTACTGATATTCTCCCTATAAATAATGTCACCGTACATAGATGCTTACCAATATCTCCCTGCAGAAGAAAAATCCCCAGCAAGGTTTGATTTGAAATTATAATCTGCAATAGATACCTACACATCAAATATTTTGTTACATATCAACCTCAACCAGGACAAAATAGGCAAATGCTAGACAAATTAAACTTTCTGCTTGCTCAAAACAAACATTTAAATCAGAAGATAGTTACATACTTCTCAAACTTTTGGAGCAGTTCAAGAATATGCAACAAGGTGTAATGCTTCTAAAATTCATGCCACAAAAGTGCATATAGTGTTTTGTCACAATAGCAATTAGCAGAGAAATTTTTAAGCATACCAGATCCACAATATTGCCCATGCATTCTCCTTTAGCAGTGACGTCCTTAATGTTCTTCTTTAGCAAAGGCGTTGTAAATGAGAATCCTAGTTGATGCCAATATCAAAGCAGCAACATTCTGATAGCAAAAATTAACAGATAAAAATATATTAGCAATGAATCAAAGACTCTGACAGTATATAAAACCTCATTAGAAGATAATTGAATAATTTTATAGCCGCACCCCATGGTTCTACAATGACCCAAAACCCATTGAGCCTGCAATCAGAGGAAAGATAACAGGCCATATCTGTGTTGTCATCATCATAGTGGAGGAACTGCCATGAGAGTGTTAGTGCCTTTACAGGGAGTTGTTCAAGGTAGATGAGATCTCGTTTGGGGTTGTTTCCTTGTGCCCTCTTCTACTTCCTTCTACTCCCTTGATACGATGCCATCATTCTCCCTCTTCCTCTTTTGATGCCACCTCCTTTTCCTTGGAATGGAAAAACAGGAGAGATGACTCAAACAGACGAGGACGTCTATAGCAACCACCATTGGGTTGCAGATTTCCATACCATCAACTCAAGGGTAGATTTGATTAATAGAATGAATGAATAATGTCGATAGCTAGTAAAATACCCCAAATTTGAACCCTTAACAGCAAAGATTTCCTAGAGCATAGCAATTAACACACCACCGTCAACCAATAGAGAGGGAAGAGATAATGAAAGCTTCCAAAATTCCAAAATTTCAAGAAAAGACGAGAAGTGGAGTCATGAGGCTGAATCTACTGGTGAGGAATCATTTGCAGACTTTTCCTAGTCTTCATTACCTCCTCACTTTTAACACCAAGATAAGATCCAAATCAAGCAACAAGAGAAATCTGACAAGAAAATAAAATATGGTCTCAGCTTTCTTCTTGCAGCTGACGGAAGGCACAAAGTGGATCAACTGAAGTTATGCCGCCTTATAAAGTTGTAAATGCAGGCAGAATTTTTTTTTTTTTGGGAAAAATTTCCACAGAAACAACCAAATTCTAGGGACCGGATCAAAGGAACCTTCCAAACCTTAGTAATGCACACGTGGTAGCCAGCAACTTTTTTCATTCCTTTCCAAATGCCAAATCTCCAAAATCTACTCACTAGTACTATTATTGTAAAACTTTTAAGTTAATTCTATAAATTTATTATTTTATATTTTTAATTTATAAAATTATATTAATTCATTCATAAATTTAAACTAGAGAAAACTTAATTGAATTTACAAGTTAATTCTCTGAATTTATTATTTTTACATTACTAACTTATAAAATGATGCTCATCTGTGCATAAATTTGTTGAACAAGATAAGTATATACTATTTAAAACTTGATTTAAAGAAGCAATAAGATCTAGTTTGATTGAACATAAAACTCAAAAACACAAAAAATAATATTAACATAAAAGAAAAAAGAAAATACCAAAAATAATAGATGATGGCCAAAAGTATTTTGGATAAAGGACTTCAACAAAGAGTAAACTGTCATCATCTATTAAAAGTCTCCAAATACTTTTGGCCACTACAAATTTGTTTGAAAACTATCTTCTTAAGGAAAATTAAATGATTGTTAAGTTGCAAAATATTGATTTAATGGCAGTTAAGTCCATAACAAAAATTTCTAAAAAATAAATTGCAAATATTGATTCAAATTGTTACAAATTTTGAAATCTCAATTGCCAATCAAGTATTTGAATTTCAAATACAACTCTCAGTTTGTAATTGAGATTCTCATTTGCCACTATTTGAATTAATATTTACAAATCAATTTTCAAAATTTTTTTGCCAAGAACCTAACTATTATTCTCCCTCTTTTTATTGCCCAAACTCCCCTTTGTCAAGAAGAGTATATATTTCATCCCAACTCATCAAATGCATATTATTCCTAAAAGTGAGAATAACCCCCCAAAATAAATTAGAGCACTTCACGTCAATTTGATGACACAAATTCCTAGACAAGATAAAATAAGATGATAAACTAAAGTTGACACAACCACCAATTTGATCAGAATGGCCCTGCCTACTTGTGACCATAACCTGGCTCTCCAATTCAGAAGCTTACTATCTATTCTATTAACCATGTCCTTGAACAACAGCTTCTTATCCCCACCAAGATCCACATGGATACTTTCCAAAACAAGAACCAAACTTGAATTGCATCTTATGTGATAACTCCATCCTTCCCTGAGTGAATTGGGAGAGAAAACCATGGACAATTTAAGTTTAGGTTTAGGTTTAAGGGATAAAAAGACGCGAAAACATTTTCTCCAAAAACATTTAATATCCTTAAGTCAACAATGATGTAGGAATACCCATTAACCTTTTTTAATGAGGGCATCCTTCCTTGAATCGTTAAAGAAGCTGACATTCGTTAACTGATCCTCAATCTTTCCACAATCAACATCAGATGTTGCCAGGTGTCAAGGTATACTAATTAGACCATTGCAAATGTGGAGTTTTAGTTTGGTATTCTTTTCCATTATTTTCTATCCTCTGCAACTAATAAATCCACCACCAACCATAGCAGAATTAGGGACCGTAAAATACAATTGATGCCCTGGGATGCACATTGAACAAGTGTCACTCTAGCCCAAAAAGGAAAAATTGTGGCAAAGTATGTGTTTGTACATTTACTTAATAAATCAAAAGTTAATTCTTGTCTCAAGGTTGAACATTCCCCTAATTGCACAGTGAAAAATCCAAGGAGAAAGATTGGGATCAATCCAAATCCATTGCAATTAATTATCTTCGCATGTAATTGGTTCAGAACTTTGATCAAACACAAAGAAGACACGAGGCAGAAAGTCAAACAAACTTGAAGTAGCTTTGCATATCCTTGTGTCCTATCACTCTCATAAATTACTTTATCCTGAAACAGAATCGTCCTCACAACGTACTTGCGATAGCACCTAGAGAGTCAGATGGAGAGAGTGGCAAACATAGAGAGAGCAATCTGAATGGAATCGCAGTTAGAACACATAAGAATGTGCAATAGAAGAGGAATAACGAATGCGATGACAAGAACACATACCACAAGACAGCTGCTCAGCAATAGTTGGATTGATCCACGTGCACCTATCACGGGTACGATCTAAATCTCCCTAATTTGGGACCTTCATGAGCGAAGAAATCTAAAGGTTGCTTGGTTTTAGGGAGAAAAACTCTAGTTTCATCTTCCATAGCCTAAGAAATCTCGGGAAATTTGTACGGATCATTGGAAAGAAGACCAGGAGTAACCTCCACGTTTGCAATGGTCAAGTTAGTGTACCTTGACACAGGTGACACTTGGCGTCGACTGTGAAAGAATTGAGGATCAATTAACAAACTTCAAGCTTCTTTAATGGCGTTGACTCAAGAATACTAGACCGTCCAGGAAAAAAATTTTCTAAGTATTTTTACCCTTTAGCTCTTTGATTTATTAATTCTTTGAACCAATAAGAAACCAAAAGCCTAAAGGATACTATCAAGACTTAGTTTTTTAGTTGATGCTTCAACAAGCAGAACCATATCATTAGCATACGTAATATGAGAAATTGGCAAAGATCCTCTAAAACAAGCCCTTCCTAGCACCCTCCTTCGCCACATGCAAGAAAGATTATTAGCACCCAATATAAGGAGATAGGGAGACAACAGATCTCTTTGGCCAAGTCCTCTTTGTGGAATAATGATATCAAAGGGAGAGCCATTGATAATCACATAGTATGTGATAGAAGTGACACATCCTAGAATCATGTCAATTTAATCCAAAGAAAAATCCATTATCTCTAACACTATATGGAGAAATTCCCACTTAAGCTTATCATGAGCATCCAATTAATTGCATGCGAACCCTTTTTTGACTTTCTCATATTCTTCATCTTGTTCAAAAGCTCTACAACAATGAGAATACTGTCTAAAATAAACCTACCCTTCAAGAATGCATTATGAAATGGAGATATTAGATCATTAAGAACCCCCCTTGAGCCTATTAAATTGACTTTTGCAATGATCCTGTAGCACACATTACAAACACTTATTGGTCTACATTGAATGACTAAGGAGAAGCTCAATTTTTCACTAAAGTGATGAAAGTATTAACATACCTTGGTAGTTTATTAAGAACTAAGATACCTTGTTAGATTTATCATCTTTTAACAACCACCAAAACTTCGCGCAATATTGTACCTTGGTAGGTTTGGCTAAATGTGCAGTTTATTTTCATAAAGTTAACATTGTAGTATTCACTATTCAATGAGAGATCCTTCTTTTATTTGCTGAATATTCTCCATCATCTTCAATTCTTGCATACGTAGTTTATCATGTTGCATTTAATGCCTTCGAGACTTTGTGCAAAATAACCTTTAGTGAAAACTGCGAGTGACTATAGTAAATGACCAAACTCAAGGTTTTGTTAACTTCGAAAAAAACATTAATCTAGAAGCTATACTTTAAAACTTTGAGTCTTGAAGAACAAAAGCTTGGTGTGAGTAATAGATACAAGTAATTCCTTTTTTTTAAATCTTCTTTTGAGCCTGAAACAACCAAGGATTTTTCGAACTTTAACACAAACATATGCCGCCATGAAAGAACCAGTGACAATTCACAAGACATGACATTACACCTGCATCACCAATCATACCCAAGAAAGTTTAGAATAGCTAAACAATTTCCGAAACCATCGTCCATTTCAAGGCACCAAAAAACCAAGGGGTAGAGCTTATCCACATGCACCTAATGTCCAAGCTTTAAACTAGAACCTATTGGCATTTTTCCTAATTTCATTTATAAGCACAAAAAGCACTGGAAAGAACATCCTCTTCAAATTCAAGATTACAGCCCCCATCATCCTTTGCAAAAAAGTCCTTATGTAGGAGAAATAAATGGCCAAGAGAATTCACTGACCACTTTTCTCGATCACTTATTATAAACAATGGATGGACAATATTGTCCTTGCAAGTAGTTATGAACACAACTCCAAAGGAATTGCCCATCCGAAGAAACTACCCTCTGGAGCTTATAAGCCCCACTTTTCATATTATAAACTTCACTTCCCTTATAAGGCTCCCAAAGGTGGTTCAAACAATGTTTCTATTTCTTTTTAGAAGAAAATCGCAAGTCGAATAGAGTTGGGTAGGGCCAGAAGACCTTGGGAGATTTGAATGTGGAAGTTCTTAAATTGAACATAGAAACACAGCCTCTATCACTAAAGTAGATGCAATTCCGTTCACATCCATGATAGTCATGAGCTGAAAGGGAGAAATTACAATCTTTACTCAAAACAAACACACGCTCATCCAAGTTCTTCACATCCATCCATCTACCCCATTCCTCGTCAAGCTTATATACTTTCAAACCAAGTACCTCATAGGACGTGCCCCTGGTGTTGTTGGGATCTCCTTCAAAATAAATATCAACAACATAAAGACTTCCACAGGATTCTACCAAATGCTTCTTGTTGTTATCAACCAAAGCATAAAGCGGAGGAGAAAACTGCACTAACTTCAAGGATGAACAGTCTATCCACGAAATGGTTCCCCATCTATCCACAACATAGAGCTGACCCCTATGAACAATTATGTCATCATAATAGAAGTTTCTATCATCCACGAGGGTCCATTTATAATCACCAATTCTTGAGAATGCTAGTTTTCCATCTCGATGTACAGTAAAGAACATGCAATCCTTTATCTTGGTCCAAGCAACATTAGGGAACGCTACTACTTTCCAACTCTCACGAGGATGAAACCCCTCACAAGAACCATTTAATGAGATAGAACATGTTTTCATAAGTTCAACCAACCGAAGGTTCAACAGATTCAATTCCTTAGGGAAAGAGTTATAAGGGTAGCTCATACGAGAGCTAGAGAGTCTATCATTTGTGAAAGGGTTTAAGAGACGGAGACGACGGTATTTGGATTCTTCAACCTTGATCAACCACGCTTTGGAGAAACAAGAACATGGAATTGTAATAGCAAGATCAGAAAGTTCAAGACGATAAATTGTGGTGCAGGTAAGTAGGCGTTTGCCAAAACGAGTGGTTATTTTTTGAGGGAACCTAGGAGAAACTATAGCAGAGGGAGAAACAGAGGAACGCCATGACTTGCAAATAGAGCGAAAGTGAAGAAGGTCGATTTTACTGTTGAGGCGTTCGAATATCATCCGACATAGTTCTGGGTGAAGATCAGACCAACCCACACTCTCATCCGACTTTGAACGATGTTTCCTTTTCTTTGTGGGGAAAAAACACAAGTCAAACAGAGTTGGGCAAGGCCAGAAAACCTCAGGAGAGTTGGAGGTGGAAGTCCTTAAGTTGAACATAGAAACACGACCTTTATGGCAGAAGTAGACGCAATTCCCTTCACATCCATGATAGTCTTGAGCTGAAATGGAGAAATTACAGTCTTTACTCAAAAAAAACACATGCTCATCCAAGCTTTTCACATCCGACCATCTACCCCATTCCTCTTCAAGCTTATATACTTTCAAACCCAGTACATTATTGGGGATGACACTGGGGTTGGTGGGACCTCCTTCAAAAAACATATCGACATAGAGACTTCCAAAGGATTCCACCAAATGCTTCTTCTTGTTATCAACAAAAGGACAAAATGGAGGAGAAAATTGCGTCAACTTCAAGGATGAACAATCAATCCAGTAAATGATTCCCCATCTATCCACAACATAGAGCCGATCCTTATGAACAATTATGTCATCATACCAGAAGTTCTTATCATCCACAAGGGTCCATTCATCATCACCGATTTTTGAAAACCCTAGTTTCCCATCCCTATCTACACAAAAGAACATGCAATTCTCAATGGTCCAAGCAAAATTGGGGAACGCTACTACTTTTCCACTCTCACAAGGATGAAACCTCTGGCCAGGACCATTTAATGAGATAGAATATGTTTTCACAAGTTCAACGAACCGAAAGTTCAATAGATTCAACAGCTTAGCGAAAGAGTCAGAAGGGTACGTCGTATCGGAGCTCGAGAGTCGTTCGTTTGTAAAAGGGTTTAAGAGACAGAGACGACGGTATTTGGATCCTTCAACCTTGATCAACCACGCTGTGGATAAAGAAGAACTTGGAAGGGTTGTAGCGAGATCGGAAAGTTCGAGACGATAAATTGTGGTGCGGGTGAGTAGGCGTTCGCCAAAACGGGTGATGATTCTTCGAGGAACTGTACGAGTGGGATAAATAGAGGAACGCCATGACTTGCAGATAGAGCGAAGTCGAAGAACGTCGATCTCACTGTTGAGGCGTTTGCGTACCATCCGGCATAGTTTTGGCGGAAGATCGGACCAACCCGCACTCTCATCCATCGAAATTTCTGCAGGCGAATCGGATTCTCACACTCTTCGGGTGTCGCCAAGAACCAAATGATTTCCAGTCTCATGTTGCGTCTCGAGTAAGGGAGTGGCAGTGTTTGCATTCCACGGCTGCACAAGGCGACATTAAAATAATAATAATAATAATAATAATCATGAACAACTTTTCAAAAAATCATGATATAAAAATCCGTGTCGACTCATTTGTCAGCAAATCACTAAATTCACTAGTTTAATAAAGTGTTCTTTATTAAAACATTTTAATCATTAACTAATAACCAATAGCCAATTTGGCTCAAGGTACCTTAAAAAAAAGTGATAGGAAAAATTCACATAATAAAATCCAAAACCTACAATTATTTATTCACATTGATAACAAAAATAAAGTAATATATTTTACAAAAATTAAACGATAAATTTTGTGGCTATCAACTATCAGACTGCTTTCGTAGACATATGTATTCAATGTTCCATGCGTGTGTCCATAATAAGCACACCCAACCACGTCTGCTTAGCATAAAAGTAAAGGAAAACGTTGTTGGCCCCAAAAAAAATAATAATAATAAAAGAAAATTTTTGGATCAACACCAATTTAAATTTATATAAATTTAAATAAAACAAATATCGAAAGGCCCATTTGAAACGGTTTTCTTTTATTGTTTGAATAACTGGTATTCTATATACATGATTTGATAACAGAAAATTAAAAAAAAAACTTATTAAAATAATTGTACTAAAAAATTATATATAAAAACTAGGAAATAGAAAAATTTGTTTGATAAATCGCTCTTGAACATGTTGTAATAAAGAAAACAAAAAAAAACTTGTTTAATTAACTTGTTTTACATGATTAATATTATATTTATTTAACAATAAATTACTCCTGGTGTGTTTAAAATAGCCTGGAGATTAATTCAAAATCCAGAGGCACTATGGGCTCAAGTGCTTAAAAGTGTATATTTTCCTAAAGATGAATTTGTTGATGCAAAGAAAGGTTACAAGGCTTCATGGGGTTGGTAGATCATTATTGATGGTAGGGATTGTCTATTGAAGCACCTTCTTTGGGATATTGGTGATGGCACTTCTATTCGAATTTGGAGTGACAAGTACGTGCTGAATGTTGCATTTCCTAAAAACCTGAAGATAATGATTCCTTTATTGTGAAATATGGCAGAGTAAGTGATTTAATTGTTGATGGTGTATGGAATGTTTCTCCTATCCAAGATTTGGTTCCACCTCATACACTGAACGCTATCATCAAAATTCCATTGCCAAGTAACAGAATGAATGACAAACTCATTTGGACTATGTCTACAAATGGAGTTTACCTGGTAAAATTAGGCTACAGACTGGAAAAAGCTGCATTGCAGGATTCTTTAATTAGACCTGGCCCTTCTTGGTCACAGTCTACTGGTATTTGGAAACATATCTGAAAGATCCACTACGTACCTTGTGTCTAACATTTTTTGTGGTGTATCTTATCTAAAGCTATGGCAACTTAAGTTATGCTCTTTTTAACAAAAGGAGATCCAGCACCCAGGTATGCCCTATCTGTGAATCTGAAATTGAGACATTGGAACATCTTTTCTTTCTTTGTGCCTGGGTTTGGCCTGTCTGGTTTCGGAGTAATTTTGGCTTTCGATTTAATATTTCTAATATTACAAGTTTTGAAGCCTGGTGGGAGTTTGTTGTAGATATTAAAAAAGGATTTTTTGACTTTGACATTGCTCTCATTTGCTGGATTTTGTGGCACATTTGGAAAAGAAGAGATGACAAAGTTTTTTAGTTTATAGATACCAATCCAAGTACTGTTATAGAGCTTGCTATGGTATCACAAAGTGCTGGGCCACCTGTGTTGAACTTGCTCCCGAACTCGATTTCCACACTATCCAGCTTGTGAATATTTCATGGAAAATGCCTGCTGAAAGTTTTCTCAAAGTTAATATTAATGGAGCCTTCAAGGAAAAATCTGCACGTATGTAGGGACCATACAAGTGCTTTTTATGGGGCTTTGCTGATAAAAGTAAATCTATCTCTTTTATGACTGAAGCATTAGCTTTGAAACGAGCTCTTATGTTAGTCATGGATCTTGATCATGATAAAGTTATGTTTGAATCTGATTGCAAACTTTTGGTAAACTACATTGATCTTTGCCCACCTAATCTATATGATTGGAGATGTAGAAGTATCATACAAGATAGCATTGTTGCTCTGGCATCTAAACTCGGATTTTTTTCTTCAATTTACTCCTAGGAGGGGTAACTTTGCAATTGACCTTATTGAAGTAAAGTTTTTAAGGAAAGTGAGCCCTTTAGGGCGGGTGTTCACACCATCACTTTCTTTATCTTTCATTCTGATAAGATTCTCTTAACGATTTATTCGCAAAAACACGACAAAAGATAAATTAAATCTGATTTTGTTATTTAGTTTTTGATTTAAGGTTTTGTTATTTAATTTACATATTATCTAGGAGATTTTCTTAGATTTAGATTTTTATTCATTTATTGAGATTTTATTTAGATTTAGATTTTTATTTAGTCTTTTATTATCTAGTTATCTAGATTTAGATTTTTATTCTTTCATTATCTAGTTATCTAGATTTCATTTGTATTTATCTTTATAAATATGCTTAGCAACTCAGAAGCTAGCATATCATCATCAATAAAATAATTCTTAAATTCTTTTAAAGATTTTTCGAAGCGTAGTTATTAAAAAAAATATAGAATAAAATTCTTATTCTATATTATCTTAATAGAATTATTCTTCCTGTTTCCTTTTATCTTAAGCGTTCCAACACATTCTAGCTGTTGATGTTTGTGATGCTACTACATCTTCAATGTCTTCTTCTCTAAATGGTAGATTAGGCGTTGACTGATTTCTTCTGTTGTTGCTTTTTGTTTGGGATGTTGCTACTGTTTTTGTACTTTATTTCTTGGACTTTGTTTTGTTGATTTTCTTTGAATAATATTGCAGAATTTATGACCCAAAAAAATTACTCCTGGTTTGTTTTGAGAACAAGCTTTGAATACAATTTTATAGATTATTATTTATCTATATTGATTCTAATAAACCTAGACTCCTTTTATATCTTCAAAGCTACATTTGGATGATAAAAATTTGGATTTAAATTTCAACCAAATCTTCTATTTAGATATATAAATTTTTTTATTTGGATTTGATCCAAATTCATGATTTATAATAACTTTTTTGTAATTTTAAATTTTTTCTAGATCATGGTTTTTTGAAATTCTATCTACTCCACCAACTCTCTTGTTTTCTTTACATTATCACTATTAGTGCCTCAGTTATTCTCACTACTTCACTCATCTCTTGTTTCTGTTTTTAATTGATTAAAAAATAGAAGTAAGTTAGTCACTTCTAATATTTTATTTCTACTTCCAATCTTAGCTCATTTATTTTTTCCCTTTAAAATTTTTTACAATATTTGAATAAAGAATTTTTAGTACATTGATTTTAAATATAAAATTTAAAATCTAAAATTTAAATTTAAATCCATCAATTCGAACACAATCCAAATGTATTTTTAAAAAATTGACGAAGATATACAAGATAGAAGCCAATTGTAAGGTCACTCAAACTCTAATCCTAGATTCCAAGCAAGTCCTAAATTTCTGTCAAATATGAGAATCACACTAGTTATTTAAAAATAATAAAAATTTTAATTAAAAATAATTGAAATTATTTCATTAAAAAATAATTTTTTTTAATTGTTTACAAGTAGTAGGACCTCAATTAAAGTCTCGCCTGTGTCTTCTTCTCTTATGTTGGAGGCTCGCCCTTGGATTTATAGCCCATTATTGTTGTTGCTCGTTTCTTTCTTTGGTCTTTAATCTTATTTGTCAGGCCCATATTTTTTTGTTGGGCTTTTTTATGTACTAACTTTTGTTGAATATAATTGTCTACGTAACAAAAAAAACAGACATATTATGTTAATAAAATACATTTCTTTAGATGAATATAAAAGGAAAAATCACAATCAAAGACTCCTAGAAATAATTAATAGCATTATAGAATCAAATGATTCTGATATTACTTTACGGAATTAAAATACCTACCTTTATTGTGAAAAGATAAAAATATCATTCATGTATATATTATATAATCTTTTAATAGCAACTCTTCATTTGAAAAAGAAAAGTCTCATTTACATTTTAACAATAATAAATTTTTTTATTAACAACTCTAAGAAATTAACTTAGTGATGGAGAGGAATAAGTGTTATAATTTGGTTAATAAGTTTCCACTCAAGAAAAAAAAAACAAATCTCGTTTCTATTCTAACAACAACGAATTCAATTATTAACAACTCTAAAAAATTAACTTAGTGGTGGAGATAAATAAGTGTTATGATTCTGTGAATAAGTTTCCATTCGAAAAAAATAAGTTTTATTTTCATTCTAACAACAATCAATTTCATTATTAATAACTCTAAAAAATTAATTTGGTGATGGAAAGGAACAAGTATTATGATTTAGTAAATAAGTTCCCATAAAAAAAAAAGCTAGTCTCATTTTTATTCTAATAATAATCAATTCCTTCATTATCAACTATAAAATACTAATTTGATAGAGGAATTGTTATAATCTATTGAACAAGTCTCCATTTAAGGAAAAACAAGTTTCATTCCCACTTTAACAACAAACCATTTCCTCGACACAACAAAAATACATTAGGGACACTTTTATCTTATCACAACAAATTTTAATTACACTTAGATTCTTTAATCATGCAAAGTAATATCACAATCTTTTGATCCTTTAGTGTAATTAATTGTCTTGGGGAATGCTTGATTGTAATTTTCCCATAATAAAACAACTTGGCATTTTATTATCATGTATCTTTTTTATTTCCAAAACTTCACTTTTCTTTTTGGTTGTCCATTAATGAAACATGACAAGAATCTCTCTTTCTGTCATGGTCTCATGCCAAATAAGGTGAGGAATAACAGGGTTTATATCATTTTACAAAACAGCCATTTAATATGATCATTGGCCATTCCCCTATTCTGTTTATAAGTTATTTTTAAGATATTTTATTAAAATTAAAAATATAAAAATTTAATAAGTTTTAAATTTTATCAATATTAAATATAGATACTTTAATAATACATTTTCTCTCACTAACATTTAATGAAGGTAAAAAATAATTGTTATAAAAAATTAAGGACTAAAGTACAAATCTACTCTTAAAAAATCAAAATTTTCATTTAAGCACATATGGTATCCTTAAGTATTTTTTAGTGCAATTTCATCCTAACATTTTTGAAAATAGTATAATGTTGTCCTAAACTAACAAATCCAAACATTTGACCGTTTAGTTTACTTATTTTGCTTAGATGTGTTCTAATATGGCATATTTTAAAAATTAAAAATTTTAAAAAAAAAAAGAGGAAAAGGAAAAACACATGCACCTTGGCAAATGCTTTATCTCCCTTATACTTTGTCGGACGCCGATCAAGAATTGAAAACCCAGATCAAGAACACGAGGCTTTCTAAAACCTCTAAGAGAGGACAAAAACGCAAGGAACTAAAACCCAAATCAAGAATTGAAGTTCTCTTCATATGAGCCAAGTAGAGATTCAGCAAAATTTGTGCCAAAAAGACTATTAACACACATCCAGCCATGTCAAAACCCAAGTAATGAAGCCAGGGAGATGAAGCTTCAATGAACATTGGGTTAATTTAAAAAGACCAAACCCATAAACATATCAAAGCAAAAACTAGAATGAATCAAACCAAAAAGCATAGAAAATCATTACAAGACTAATCTAAAATAAAAAACCCCAAAGACAAATTAGAAAACCATAATCTCATATCTACAATACAATACAAGTTATGGGTCTCAATAAAAAATCAAGGCTTCAAATTCAACAAACCTGGATCGTGCTTAAGCTCTTCCTTTTCCTCCAAGCCCATACTACTCTACAAGTAAAAACCAAGGCTTCAAATTCCATTCCCTTCCTAAACTCAAGGTTGTACTCGAGCCCTTCTATCATGCAAGCATGTCGACGAACTCAAGGGCATGAGATTTGGGTTTTTTGGTTAAACCTTTTCTAGATTTTGTAAAAGAAGACTACTGAAGAATAGGGCAAAAGAAGGAATGAAGAAGATGAACTGGTAATGATGATGTGAACAACTTCCTTGGCGTAAGTGGAAGCAAGCCAATCGCATCCTAGATCTGAGCCTTGATGTTCTTATGGTCCATCAACAAAGTTTGAGTTAGAAATTGGACGTCAATTGTGGCCTTAGAGTATGAAATTCATGAATGGATTTGATGGCGAGACAAGTGAGATCAACGAACAAAAGTGAATGAATGGATTTGATCGATTCCTTCCCCTCTATCTTCACAAATGATGTGCTAGCTCATACCGGTAGTGATCTGATAATGATGATGATGATGGTGAGGTGGAGGAGGATGAGGAGGAAGAAGGGGAGGGTTCATAATGGGTTTGAAATTTTGATTGTGACTAGAACATGGGTTTAGAGGAGAGGAGTAAAGGGGGCGGTTGACAGAGGAGAGGAGGAAAGAGAATTGCATGTGAAAGTTGATGTGGCAAGCCATCAAGGCTGTTAATGGTCAAAAATTTTAATTTAACAATTAACTGGTCAAATCCTAACAGTAAGGTGAGATTGCACCAAGTTAAAAAACATTGGGGATGACATTACGCCAAAAAATACTCAAAGATACCAGGTGCGCCAAAGTAAAAACTTTAAGAGTAGATTTATACTTTAACTCAAAAATTAATAATGTAATTTATAAATAACACAAGAAAATTATTCTCTCTTCACCTTATAAATAATAAGACCATAGGGGTATTAAATATTGATGATAATAATGATTGTTGCACTTTATTAATATAAGCTAGATCTATAATCATAATTCATACATATAAATGATTACACTGAGCTGAATTTTAAAAAAAATCTAAAAGTATGATATAAAGGTCCTTAAAAAAAAAACCCTCTTGTAACTACCCATGCTGCATCCTTATCATGTGATGCTTACTTTTTTTTAATAAAAATAATAATTTGATTTAAAATAATTGTAAATAACATGATTTATTACAAAATTTATTTTTATATTGACGATTAACATATTGGTATTGATATTTTAAAACGATAATAATGGGGACACATTAGAACAAAAATGATGGTCCGTGCACTAAAACTGAAAAAATGGTCAAATATTATTTAAACTCTACATTTTTTTTAATTACAATTTCAACCACGCGTTTCTAACTTTTCTAACTAAATACGTGATTCTCTGGAGAAAAAAAAAACCATAATTAGATGTGAGATTTTACCAAGCAAGTGGTTGGTATAATATTTTGACAAACTGGGATGTTAAGTTGTCAATTATTTCAATTATATTACGTGGTATATTTTACTGTAATTTCACCAATTACTTAATAAAATATCCAACGAACCAATCTATGAGCACAGGCCACTTTTAATATAAAAACTGCAACAAACGCGTTTTTTCGGTGGTTAAAATTTCAAGTACGTGTCTACGTTTAATGAGTTATAAAGCTGTACAGGTATAATTATATATTTGCCATGATGAAAATTATTTTCCTTTAAAAATTTATAGCTACAAGAGAGGGCCTCGCATTTTGAAATTTCATATTAACTTTGAGCTATTTTGTTTGAAATGAATCAGGAATTTGTTTGCTTTATAAACACTACAATCAATTCCTGGTTTATATAAGCAGTGCAATTTGCTAAAATATTTATACTTATATTAAATTGATTTGTATTAATATTCACTATATAACTTTTTTGTATCTTCAAAATTCGTGCCAGCTCTCCTTAAAAAAAGAATCGAATAATCTGCCAAGTGAATGTAGTATAAATGAAAGTGGTGGGTCTCTTAAATATCATTACAAACTTTGATTCTTAAAAATATGTAGAGAGTATTGTTTGGAAGATGACAACCATTTAAATGACTTTTAAATTTTTAAATTTTAGCCTCATGGTTATCAATTGTAGGGATACTTTGAGGAAAAAATTGAATAATCTACTTTTTAAAAAAATTAATTAAATTGCTAAAAATACTTCTTTTTAATTCAAGTTTCAAATATATATATATATATATATATATATATATCACTCAGGAGGTAGGGGGGACATTTCATCAACTTTTTGTTTTCTTGTGATTTTTCTTTTCGTCGCAAAGATTCTGATGAGGGTCATCTGTTCGAGCATTCAAAGCTTTTAGCATTTTTAATTAATATATTCCTTTTCCATGGATGCAGACAACTTAATTGGTTAAGTTTTTTGTTTTCTTTACTTACATTAAGTTTTAAAAAATAATAATAAAATTCTTTTAAATTATATAAATAATAAATTAATCCCTTAAAATATTATAATATTAATAAAATTTTTAAGAACTTCTCTATCATTAAGAAGTTAATATAAATGATTAAATTGTGTTTAATTTAAATATCAATTATTATTTATAAGTTTTGTTTTAAGATTTACAATTTTTTTTAAATCACAATAATTCAACAGTAATTTGTAAATTTGTGTTTAAAATTTTGATATTTCTTAAATGTCGTAAATACCAATTGTCACTCAAAAGTTTTGTTATAAAATTTATAACTTTTATTTTTAAAATCGTAAGAATTTAATAACAATTCGTAATTTTAAATTTAAAATCCTAATATTCTTCAAGTGTTGTAAATACTAACTATCATTCATAAATTTTGACTCATAACTTTTCTTCTTAAAATTATATAATGCAGCAACATTCACATTTGCAATTCTAAACTAAAAACAATTTGATCATTTATATTAATTTTTTAATGACGGAAAAGTCTTTAGAGACTTCCAGGAGAATTATGATATTTTACGTGATCAAATGTCATTTATATAATTTAAAATTTTTTTATTATTTTCTCTTAAGTTTTTGTTGTATATACCTATTTTTTTAAGCTTGTCTTATTTACATTAAATAAATAAATAAGAGATCATTGAGGAGGGAAAATCATCCTAATGCTTTTTCCCCCTTACATCTCACTCTATGCTAGATTTTTTTTTTTTTTTCTTGGCCAACATTCTACGCTAGATTGGAGGCTTGAGCACTGTCAACTTAAATAAAGATAACTTTTCAAAGTATATTGTTTATAACACAATTAGAATTAGAATTTTTGATAAGATGATCGAATAATCGTAATTAGAATTAGAATTATTATATTATAGTACTTATAAAATAATCCCTAACATATTTTTATACTTAAAAATTTACAGTTTTTTCAGCCAAAAAATTATAGGTCCCTTAATTATTATTATATTATTTTTGTGAGGAGATAATAGCTTATAAATAGTGGCAAGACAGGATAGATATAACTAACTTTAGGTTTCAAAATTATTTGTTGGTAGTATTTTCTAAAAATATTTATTTTATATAATTTATTATCTCAAGAAGGTTCACACTTGAGGATTACTTGGTTTATTTTATTAGTAATAATTTTAACGCTACCATATATAAGAGAACATTATCATATAGTTGTTATTTAGATTATAAAATAAACCATTAACAAAAAACCAGCGTAATTGATACCAAAGATAGAATAAAATAAGTTGTTATTTAGATTATAATTTACCTAGAATAATAATTTTTGGGTACAGTGCAATAATTTTAATTTAATATTTATTTTTTATTTTTAACTTTTAAATGTTAAGACATCCCGTGATGCACGAGGTATAAATATAGACGGGCAAAATAAAACTCAACTGTCGGCTTTTATTTATTTTATGTAATTTATTATCTCAAGAAGTTTCACACTCAGGATTATTTGCTTTATTTTATTAATAATAATTTTAACATTTCCATGTATAAGATGACATTATCGTGTAGTTGTTATTTAGATTATAAAATAAACCATTAACAAAATCCCAGCATAATTGAGATTTGAGACTGAAGATAGAATAAAATGAGTTGTTATTTAGATTATGTGCCTGTTTGGTTCGTTTCTATTTTACATTTAAAAAGTAAAATTTCAACTGTAAAATGTTAAAAATTATTTAAATAAAATATTTTATAAAAAAGCACATTTAAACAATGGTTAAAGGTGGATTTAAAAAATATAACTATTTAAAATTTTTAAAAAATAAATTTAAAAAATAAAAAATTATTTGATCATATCACTCCAAGTTTAATCTTTTTTTTTTATTTAAAAAATATTCAATTTATTAAAAATATAATTATTATTTAAATAATAATAATAATTAGGTATTAAATTTTTAGTATTATAAATTAAATAATTAATTATGTTAATTTTTAACATCAATGTATAATAAAAATTATAAATTTTTATCATATTTTTTAAAATTAAAAATTTTAAAAGTATAAATAATTAGAAATTAAGTTTTGAATATTATAAATCAAATTTTATATTATTTAAAATCTTTATCATGTTTTGTAAATATTTTAAATATATTATATTTATATAATAAAATTATAAATCATCATAAATTAATATTTTTTTGATAATCGTACGTTTAAAAGTTTATTTTATTATCATAATCTAAATAATTTTAGTATATTTAATTAACTTTTTAAGAAAATGCACTTAAATATAAATTTTATTACAATAATTAATTTTTACTAAACTGATTTTTATTAAATAAATTTTTAATAAATTAAAAATCAAAACACTGTAATTTACTTACAATAAAAAATTGTAATACAGTATATTAATTTTTTAAAAAAATTAATATTTTTATTTTAATTTTTGACTTTTAACCTCTAAGTATTAAGGCATGTCGTGATGCACGAGGCATAAATCAAGACGGGTTAAAAGAACAAACAAACGTCAAAAACTCAACTGTCAGCCTTTATTTTGGCAGCCTGATTGACTGACACTGACTCCGACACATCTTTTCTTTTTTGCCCTTTTTTTTTTTTCTTTTTTTTGCCATGCTTTCTTTTTTTTTTTTGATCAACATCATTTGATAAAAAAATTATGTACTTTATCTTATATATTTAAAATATTTATTTTTAATTAAATCAAACATATATATTTATTATAAATTATTTAATTTATAATAAATTTTTATTATTAATATATTACAATTTATATATCTTAATTTAATCAGATGAAAATATATTAAATATGTAAAGGTAGGTGTAGAAGTGTATTTTTTTTTAGCCGAATATTTTCGCCCACCAGCCACAAATTGGTCAAAGAAAAAATGACACATTCACCGGTGGTTTCCGTCGAACAAGAATTATTTCTCCAGATACTATATGCATGGCCCGCGCGACATTAAAGTTGAGGGGGCGTTAAATGGAAAGAAAATTCCAAGAAAGTTTTATATCCCCTTATTAAAAAATATAAAATATTTTAATTAAATTTATTTTAAATAAAATAATTACTTACTTTTTAATTAAATTTATATTTTTATATTTATCTCTATTAAATATTTTATAATAAATATAAAATCATTATTAATAGAGACTCTTTTAAAAAAAATTAATGAT